ACTGCTCTTCGGCCTCGGCTTCGGCTTTAGATTTATTATGTGTTCCTCAGAAACCCTTTACCACCCACACAGATGCTTGAACTGACAAAAGTTTCTAGGCTTCTCCCTGCGTGAATGCAGCCCTGCCCGTCCCTCCCGGCTCCAAAATGGGAGAAATGGAGCTTGAACAAACAAACTACAAACCAGCCCCATTTCCATTCTGCAGCAGGAAGCTTAGATTTTATTTTTCTCCCTCCCCCCGAAATTGTTGCTTTCTAACCTTCTCGAATTCAGGGCCTTGGATTAAACTTTTCGAATCTTTCCTGGTTTAAGTAACCCTTGAGCAAAAGCCAAATTTCTTTGCTGAGTGAGTCAGGCCGAGCTGTCAAAAGTCTTTCGAGAAAAAAGATTGATCGTTTCTCTCTTCTTTTTGGTTTGTGTGGACCCGGGCACTTTAAAAGGGAAAAAAAAAATCTTCCTGGGAAATGTCTTTTTCGTTTTATTTATTTATTTTGTAAACTCTGGAAGTGGCGCTGTTTATTGGCAGTGGGGAAAAAGGCGGGGGGGGGGGGGGGGTGGGGGAGGGGGGTGGAGGCGGGGAAGGCGGCGGGTCGGGGAGGAGAGGTGCGAGCACCGCGCCCGCTCCGCCGCCGCGCAGCCAAAGATATCCGTGACCTTAAAACATGTTTGGCCTTTAAGAAAAGTGCAAAGGGTCCATTAAATCTGGCTTTAGGAGCAGAAAGATTACTCTTTTTCTTTAAAAGTAATTTAACCAGGTAAATCAGGGCGATTTAACTGTCCTTGGCTTGAAAGCTCACTTGATTTTCTAAGTGCTCCTGCTCAGACTCAGACACAAACCGCCGGACCAACCCCTCCTGCTGGCTTCAACTTCCCAAGCTCTGCAATGTGTGTATATATATATATATTTATATATGTATATATGATACGCAAATACACCCAGGCACCTCCGGCCTCGGTCGCCAGAGCCGAGATCCCAGCTCGCCCGCCGTTCAGGCTGCATTTCCCTGGCTGCCGGGGGGCACCTCGGGAGCGGGAGGGGGGGAAGAGGGGGGCAAAGGCCCTTTTCCCACGCCTGGTTTCCTCCCTCCTCGGGGGAACAAACTCCCGGGGGCTCAGGGAGAGCGTCTGGAGCTGCACGGAACAGGCAGGGCTGGCAGGGCAGGCAGGAGAAGGCAGGGCAGGCAGGAGAAGGCAGGACAGGCAGGAGAAGCCAGAGCAGGCAGGAGAAGGCGGAAGCAGGCAGGAGAAGGCAGGAGAAGGCAGGAGAAGGCAGGAGAAGGCAGGAGAAGGCAGGAGAAGGCAGGACAGGCAGGACAGGCAGGAGCTCCCTGCCCGCAGCCCCCGGCCCCGGCCAAGCCCCCCGACAGCATCCCCGCGGAGGGATGGCGGCAGAGGGGAGGGGGGGGTCGCTTTTCTGGGGATCTTCTCTCGCCTCTTTTTTTTTTTTTTTTTTTTTTTTTTTTTTTTTTTTTTTAATCAATTAAAGAAAATAATGCTTTCTGTTTGCCACCAGGCCCCGCCTGCCATTGGCCAGGGCTGGCCACGTGACCAGGAATTGGCTGCAATTTCGCCCCAGTCTGGAGTTTAATAGAGCAAGGTCCCCATACGCCTGTATTATCAGCAATATAACAATTATAAAAAGCCCGAGAACCATCATCATCACTGCCATAAAAACCGAGGCCCTCAGATTTCTTCCCCTCTCCCCCTCCTCCTTCCCTCTTCCCCCCTCCCGCTTTTTAAACCCTGGGCCCTGGAAAAGCCATGAATTTTGAATTTGAGAGGGAGATCGGGTTTATAAATAGCCAGCCTTCGCTCGCAGAGTGCCTGACGTCTCTTCCCGCTGTCCTGGAGACATTTCAAACTTCATCAATCAAGGACTCGACATTAATTCCTCCTCCTTTTGAGCAAACCGTCCTCAGCCTGAATCCTTGTTCCAGCAGCCAGGCAAGACCGAGGAGCCAAAAAAGAGCATCTCATGGCCTGCTCCAGCTCCAGCCCCAGCCTCCGGCACAGCCCGGCCCCTTGGCAGCGGAATTCCCCTGGATGAAGGAGAAGAAATCCTCCAAGAAAGCTACCCAGGCTCCAGCCTCTTCTTCCTCCTCTTCCCCCCCATCATCTTCCTCGGTGCCGGTCCCTGCCGCAGGATCTCCTGCAGGTTCGTATAATGAGGGGGTGAGGGGGTATTTGCTGAAATCGGAGAGGATCCGAATAATAAACAATGCCCCCCCCCACCTCCCCCACCCCAGAGCAGCTAAAAATAATGTACATCAGTTTAATTTATCCCAGGTCCCAACAGAAGGATCAGATTTTAAGCATTTAATGCTGTGGTTTCAAATCCAATTTTACAGTGTTCATCGTTTCAGAAGTGGCAGAATCCAAAGTGAGCTTTAAAAAAAAAAAAAAAAAAAGGAAGGAAAGGGTCAAAATTCCTCTTGTTCGCGAAGGTGGCAGAGAAGGAGGGTCCCTAAAGGAAGAGGCCAGGAAGCAAAATCCTTTCTCCTCCTTGGGACAAGGAGAGTGATTTTCAAAGCTCTTCCACAGTGGGAAGAGTTTAATTAAACATTTATTTTCTCCCGTAGCGGCTCCCCCCCCCCCCACCCC